GAATTTGGATGCCCAGCAAAAATCCATAGGATCGACCACGGTCATCTCTTAAAAGATTAATTGAATTCACTTTAAACATGATAATTTTCATTGCGTATAATGTAATATCTACAGGCAGAATGGATCAAACCAAAGTACCGCCCATCCCCTACTTGGCCTGAAACGGGCAGGGTGGAATTTAAATCCTACTCAACACGGTACCGAGAGGGCTTAGACCTCGTGCTGAAAGGAATTGACTGTATCATTAAAGGGGGCGAAAAGGTTTAGCAACATCTTTTTACTACAAAAATATCGTCGTTGATAAAGTATTTTTTTTAAAGAAAAAACATAATTTCAACGTTATTTTAGAGCAAGTTTCGATCTTTCAAAAATACTAATATGCATGGACATCTACATTGTTTGTTTAGAATTTGTCGTCATGTCACTTATGTGTCAAACTTGTAAAAAAAAAAAGGGGGGGCACAATTACAATTAACCAATCTTTTTTCTTTATTTCAACTTCTAGGATTTTTTTCAGGGATATAAATTTTACTTACATTTGAAATATGATGTAATTTTTTTTTCTAGATAGGTATTGTAGGTAGAACAGGCGCAGGGAAATCATCCGTGACGCTGGCGCTCTTCCGCATCATTGAGCCATCAGGGGGAGACATTAACATTGACAATTCGTCGATATCTTCTATGGGGCTCCATGACTTAAGATCTAAAATAACAATACTACCTCAGGTTAGTGATTTCTTTTAAATGAATTCAGGATATCTTTCATGCCTGGTTGTTTTTTTAGCAAAAAGTAATTGACTCATAGTTATGATTCAATATAGTGTAGAGTACTGACTTATGACTTATACGGACTTATTTCTCTATTTCATTTAGATTAGGCTTTATGAGTCAATTTTTGTTGATTTATTTTAATATAGTGCCTTTACTTTACTCTAATGTATTGAGTAATTACATCAATATTTAGTCTAAATGCTCAGAAATTTTCGACGTACTTTTTTTTTCGTATGAATTATATTAAAATATTTAAATGGCTTATTTCTGCATTGCCTTATTATCCTGGATTCTAGTACCAAATAATTATTTACAATGTTTATTTTGCCTTCTACTTTGATATAAAGTACTGAGTAATTATCGACATTTTTAATCCTGTTGTATTTTCTCAGGATCCTGTCATATTTTCTGGATCCATCCGTTCAAACTTGGATCCGCTCCAGAGATTTTTAGATCAGGATCTTTGGGTGGCGATAGAGAGAGCTCATATGAAAGACTTCGTCAGTAGCTGTGTAGGGCAGCTAGATTACGAATGTGGGGAAGGAGGACAAAACTTCAGGTAACAGCTCGGATGAAAGTGAGGCTCAAGTTAGAACTCAAGCAAGTAAGAACTTAAGTGTGAGAGTTCAAGTGAGAACTCGAATAAGAGCTCAGAAGAAAACTTCAGAAAACTTTGAAAGATTTGGTTTTTTTAAGAATCACAGTATCTACGAGTAAAGTTAGAATGAGGATAAAGCAAAACAAAGCATACCAAACGAAGTCCAATTTTAGCTTTAGTATTTCAATTTCACGAAACTTCTCTATTTAATATGAATAATGCAAGATGCAATTATGTTACTAATCAAAACCGTAAAAAGTATCTTTTGTTTATTTTTAAGCAACGTTTAAAAAATTATATCGATGTATCCATGTATATTTTATGTGAAATATTTTATGTATATTTTATATATTATGTAGTGTTGGTCAGCGACAACTGATTTGTCTGGCTAGAACTCTACTACACAAGACAAAGATCCTGGTTCTGGACGAAGCCACGGCAGCCGTGGATGTAGAGACAGACGAACTGATCCAGAGGACAATTAAATCAGAGTTCAGTGACTGTACTGTACTGTCTATAGCTCATAGACTCAACACAGTGATGGATTACGATAGGTGAGTTACTCTCTATAGCTTATAGACTCAACACTGTGATGGATTACGATAGGTACGGTACTGTTCATAGACTCAACACTGTGATGGATTATGATAGGTGAGTTAATGTTTATAGCTCATATACTCAACACTGTAATGGATTACGATAGATGGGTTACTGTCTATAGCTCATAGACTCAACACTGTAATGGATTACAATAAGTAAATTACTGTCTATTGCTCATATACTCAACACTGATTGATTAGGAAAGGTAAGGTACTGTCTATAGCTTATAGACTTAACACTGTGATGGATTACGATAGGTGGGTTACTGTCTATAGCTCATAGACTCAACACTGTTACGGATTATGATGGTTGAGATGTCTATAGTTAATAGAATCAACACTATAATGGATAACGATAGGTGAGATACTTTTTCATCTTAAGCTGAGCGTTAGATTATATGTAACTCATTGTATTAAAATCACTAAGGATATTGATATCTTCCTATCTGTTTAATAAAAAAATTCTAATATTCTTCCGCTGTCTCGGATTTCTGGAAAATATTGCAATTAATGACTATTTTGTTAGACTTTTCAATGGCGCCTTTTGATGAATTCTAATTTTATAATTTTTTTTACAGAATAATGGTGATGGACAAAGGGTTGATAGTCGAGTTTGGAGCCCCACAAAAACTACTGGAGGATAAATCCGGGGTCTTCTACTCGATGGCTAAAGCGGCTAACCTCGTTAATTAAAATATCTTATCTAGAATTATTATAGTACTGTGAAATCACTTATTTTCGGGGGATGGGGTATTTTTGTTGTTTTCAAGGTATCTCAAGAGACTCATGAATTTATTTCCATCTAGAAATGCTATTTTTCATATACATTAATGCTGAATAATTTTTCAACCACGAATCATTTCAAATCATATCCGAAATTAATTCCCATGAATCAGTATATTTTCCTTAAATCACAAAAACCTGATCCCTAGAAAATATGTGATTTTTTGTTCTATGATGCTCAATAAACGGATATGCAAATTGAATAAAGTAGATTTCAAAATGATTTGTGGTCAATCTCACTATACTTATAATCATATATTTATCCAGAATTACTCTTGAAATGTAATAGGTGTTGAAAATTACATGCATATCGGTATACCTATTAACATGACAGACTGATATTCAGTATGGATACACTACCTTGAAAGACATTGTAGGTGTCCTACTTTCGACAGAAAGTTAGAAGTAATTCTGTTTACATATTAACATTATAGACTGATATTTAGTGTGGATACACTACACTGGAAGACAGCGTTCATATTCAATTATCTGAAAGACTCTTTTTAATTTCACATTGTATTTTTGTATGATAATTTCCGCATTTTTCATGGCAGCTTCAACGATAAAACCCCATTTTAAGAAAATATTCTGCCAATAAAATTTGCTTACTTGACGATCGGACGTTAGTCCTTCATTGTAATTATAAACTGTTAAAATACCGCAGGGTGAAGCTTACTTCAACATCACACAGGACATTATCAGACGTTAGTCCTTCATTGCATTTATTAACTGTTAGAATAAAAGGCTTACCTCAACATCAATCAGGATATTTTAATAAGACGTAAGCATGATAAAAAAGCTTCACGTTCACATTTTCTGAGTACCGGAAATCAACTGTGACATCACACGGAAACTTAAACAAGCAAAATTATCTAAATAAAAGAATATATGCTATCACACAGAAACAATTTTTATTTTGAAAAAAAAAATCTGTTTTAGAAATACGTCACAATTAATCCATTGACTTTGACCTGTTAATTATGATATTAAACTGCTGGATCTAACTAATTTGATCTTGCTGGACTGAGAATTCAAACACTACGTCTATGATGTCACTGACGTTAGACTGCAGCGCAAAGAAATGGATGAGTGGATTTAGCATTGTAATAATAATACCTTTTGGCAAAATCTTTTAAATATTTTTTTATAATAAACGTTATAACAATACACACTTTTAAAAGAAAAATTGCACAAGAATTGTTGATTTAACAGCGTTTAGCTGGTAAGTGAACAGCAATTGTGACGTCATTTTTCTTTTTAGTCACGTGACACATATCCTGTCTCCCCTTAATCTGGATAATTATATAGACTTGAGTAACCACGGATGTTAGATTACGTGGATGAATGCTACTTTTGTGGTGAGTTGTATTGAGATGAAAGGCTGGTTATAAACTTACAATCCTTAAAGCAAGGTAAAAAAATTTCATGCATAATAATAAGTTAAAACATTTCAATTAGCATAATTACACCGGTAGATACATGAACGCAATATCTAAATGATTATCTAGTTTATCAGTGTATTTGTATCTCTTTATTTGTTATCTAACAAGATGAAGATCAAAGCAACATACATACATGCGTGAGCAGAACAAATAACATATACAAAACGTATTTATGATCACATCATATTTTTACATATCAAAATAATATTAAGCTGGAGGTTTGACACACTCTCTCTCTCTCTCTCTCTCTCTCTCTCTCTCTCTCTCTCTCTCTCTCTCTCTCCTTTACATTTTTGTAAGCGAGTTAAGTGTACTAAATAGCTTAGCATTTTTTAAAGAGAACTATTCATTACACTTGATAGCATTTAGACTTGAAACATAATATTTGGTAATATATAATTTTCTTTCAGTTCTTAATTGCTCACAGCGTTATATTAAAGTGAAATTTGTCAGAATCATACGAAAGCCCAGAAGGCTCATTCGAGATTCGAGTTTCCAAATACGAGATTCGAAATTCGAGATACAAAATTCGAAATTCGAGATTCAAAATTCGAGTTTCGAGATTCAAGATCCAAACGAACCAATCAAAAGCGGGTTCAACATTTGATTACTTCCCTTTATTATGTTTTTCTCTCTCTATATCTCTCTACAAGAAAAAGTGTTATATATATTAGAAGGAAATTTAAATAATTAATGGAATTTTGATTCAGCAAAAATATTTTTATTCTCTTAAATATTAAATCTCACATATCAGGAGTATATATATTTTTGAATTGTCTACTAAACTTGAATTTTGTGCATTTCCTCTGTAAGGAAAACCACAGGTACTTATGGACGGTACCACCTCTCCCGCCTTGATATTCAACCCTAGGGCTTATTGGACATTTTTTCACAAGTTATATTTATCAAACTTATTCATCATGTGTACAATAACAAAAAATTGTAAAATCCCCAGAATAATCGCTCAACACCCCCCCCCCCCCGTCATAATCCCACATTTTCTCCGTAAACAGCATTCTTTCTTGTAAAGTGGGGTAATAAATAGTGGGGGTTTTTTTTGTTTTGTTTTCTTTTGTTTTTTTGGTTGAGGGATTATTCTCGATTTTTTCGTATTGTAAGGCTACACATAACAGAGAATTAAGCCCTCAATATCAAGGGGGGGGGGGGGTCTTTCCACACGTTCCTGTGTTTTTCTAAAAATTAAGACAAGAAACATATATTGACGCAAGCGTCAAAAATCGCAAACCAATTAATGTTCCTTTTTATGAAGCAACTAAAGACTATGGTGATCTGTTTTTAAAATATCTTACATCTATCTTTTAATATATATCCTCGTGATATTAAAAGCTTGTGCTCGACATTACATGATTTTCTTAATTATATAATGCATGTTCAGTATTAACCCCTGGTACTCTGCGTCAACAACTTTTGAACCGTGGGCCTGTATGGCATTTACATTACAAGTTTAAAACTAAAATTTAATGTAATCTACAACTAGATATGCAGTGTAGTTTACTTTAATAAAAATGCAACAAATATGTTGGTATCCTAAAATTGCTCTCTCTTAGAGGAAAGAACTAAACTCCCTCTAGATCCGCCACTACATTTCTTCTCTTTGAGTTGTAGCGGGAAAATTCTTGGCACATTGTAAAACGTGCATTATCCTCGTTGCTAAGGGCCAAATCTTGTAATATTCTGTAGCCTGCTAAGTCTTTTAATGAATTAACATTTAACCATATTTTTCAAAATGTATATATATGTACATATGTACACGTCATTTTAAAATAAATACGTACAACAAATCCCGTTTGAATAGAGAAAGTATAATTGTGTAATATACATAACGCGGTCTTTGCTTTAGACTACGCCCAACACACACCTCAAACATGTCTAAATTTCTAAATCAGTATTGGATGAAATATTTACCTCATTCTTCTTAAGAATTTTTAATTTTATGTTTATTGTGCGTTCTTCTTTAACCTTTAGACCGTTTTTTAATAGATTATTATATTAATGTTAAATTATTTTTATTCAAATTGTTTGAACTCCGCAGAAACGCACAGCGACTTCAAACTTTCATATCACATAACCGATCACCTCCTGGCCGGCCGGTAATTAGTCGTCAAATTAGTCGTGGTACAAAAATATAATTATATACTCCTGATATATGTATATGTATCTATTTAATATTTAAGAATCTATAATATAAATTGAAATATTTTTTGCGGATCAAAAATCCATTAATTATTTAAATTTCCTTCCAATATATATAACACTTTATCTTGCATTGTAATTTAATGAAATGACCCATTTGATATAATTATATTGAATTATTTCTTGATAGTAAAAACATAATAAAGGGAAATAATCAAATGTTGAACCCGCTTTTGATTGGTTCGTTTGGATCTTGAATCTCGAAACTCGAATTTTGAATCTCGAATTTCAAATTTTGAATCTCGAATTTCGAATCTCGTGTTTGGAAACTCGAATCTCGAATGAGCCTTCTGGGCTTTCGTAGAATCATCTTTTTTTTACATGAAAACATATTTTATTAACTCTTTCAGTACCCCCATCTTCCTGTTTTAATTGTTAGTTTATGATTTGATGTTCTGAATCAAGCTTGAATGTATTTCGTATGATTACTAAAGACGCTATCTACATAAATTGACATCTAAAGTTTGAATTTATGAATAGGTTAAGCATCATATCTTTCGAAGAATCATTGCAGTATGACTATTCAAACATTTGATAAGACAAACACTTTTGAATAATTGAGTCTGATTCCAAATATTGCTAGTGATATTGATTTCGAAATTAATGTGTATAATTAATTTCAAATTATTTAATCATTGAGAATCATATCCATTGTAAAATTTAGCAAAGTAATTTATACATTCTATTGCAAAATGTTGATTGTTTTCCGTGTAATTTTTTAACCAATATGCAATAATTTTTATTTTGACATGCACAATTTTATGTTCACTCCCTAATTCACCACAGATCATAAAATTGGGAGAATTTAGTGTTATATAAATTTTTTTTAGAATTTTATGTGTACTTCTTCTTTAGTTTCAACATAACTATAACCCAACACTTCTTAAACATTGACAAATAGGAGCTACAATCTTATCGAACAATTACATTTGGTCATATTGAGAAAGGTTTAATTGGTAACTCCTTTTCGAAATACAATACATTGCGTTATTCCCTCTTTCAAGAGCATATGGTTTAGACTTATTAAATGAAGCAGTTGTTGCGAAAATAAAGTATTTAAAATGTTCAACAATTTTATTTTCTTTGTTGGTGTAATAAGAAAAACATTTTGTTGTACAATATGTACCTTTGAAAAAAATGATAATTTTTAAAAAATAAATTGAATATTTAACTCCAAGTTTCCATTTTCCACAATACAATAAAAACTCTAAAATTGATTCTGTAAATCTTGGGGTGATTCGGAGAATAAAAATGTATCATCTTTATTTTTCTTTTTTCTTTTTGATGTTTTCAAATGCTTATGTCATCCTCAGCTATCACAGGGTCAATTTCTTCATTAGTATATATACTCAAAAACAGAAACGCATATTGTTTTACTCATCAAAGAAATTTTGAAAGAAAAAGTATTTCAGAAAGATGTATTTTATGAGGAAATACAAAATGACAAAAAATCATACGCTAATTTTTACCATTTTGCTTTTCGTAATAAAATTCACCTGGCTTGGTATATATTTCTAAAGTTTATATTA